CCCCAAGGATTCCGAGCTGCCGTAGGCAGCTGCCCGCCTGGCGGCGGGCTACCGCGCCTCCGTCCTCCTCCTCCTTCTCCTTCTCCTCCTTCTCATCATCATCACCACCACCACCACCACCATCATCATCATCATCATCATCATCATCATCATCATCATCATCGTTTCATCATCAAAACATCATCATCATCATCCTCGTCATCATCATGTTCATCATCATCATCATCATCATCATCATCATCATCAGCATCATCATCATCATCATCATCATCATCATCATCATCATTGTCATCATCATCGTCATCGTCATCATCATTAGCAACATCAGAATCCTCATCAGCATCCTCATCCTCATTCTCATCCTCATCCTCATCCTCAGCATCCTCATCCTCATCCTCATCCTTATCCACATCCACATCCTGAGTATCAGTATTCTCCTCATCCTCCCCCCTCTTCATCATCATCATCATCATCATCATCATCATCATCATCATCATCATCATCATGATCATCATCATCATCATCATCATCATCATCATCATCATCATCAGAAGCATCATCATCATCATCATCATCATCATCATCATCGTCCTCCTCCTTCTCATCCTTCTCCTTCTCTTCCTCCTGCTCCTGATCCTCATCCTCCTCGCTCGTCCTCCTCATCCTCCTCCTCCTCCCTCCTCCTCCCCCTCCTACTCGGGTTCCTTTCCCTCCTCCTGCTCCTACTGAAGCACTGAAGCACCGGAAGCAAGAGAGTTATTCGAACGTTGCTTTCTGCTTCTCCACCTCTTCCTCCTCATCATCATCCGCCTCCTCCTCCTCTTCCTCCTCATCATCATTACCGCCACCGCCACCACCACCACCACCACCACCACCACCACCATCATCATCATCATCATCATCATCATCATCATCATCATCATCATAATCAGCATCATGATCATCATCATCATCATCATCAGCATCATCATCATATTCTTCATCATCATCAGCATCATCATCAGCAGCATCATCTACATCATCATCATCATGGTGCCCGTCGCGCTCTACTTAATCGGGGGTATGGTCTTGAGAGGTCCAAGAATCGACCTCTGCTAACTGCAGGGATCCTCGTTAACGGAGGTACGGGCCTGTTGATGGTTAAGAATCATTATCCTCCTCCTACTTCTACTCATCATCATCCTCCTGCTCATCCTCCTCTACCCTCTTCATCTTCCTCCTCATCCTCCTCCTCAACATCATCATCATCATCATCATCATCATCATCATCATCATCATCATCATCATCATCATCATCATCATCATCATCCTGCTGGTGTTTCTCTGACTTTTCAATTGGCTCCCTCCTCCCCTCTGCACCCGCGAGCCGCACAGCACTCGGCTCGGCACGCTTGAGCCGCAGTGATGCCTCTTTTCTTACTATCCCACCCGTTCCCTCAGGAAGCGCTGTGCGGGCCGCACTTCCTGGCAGAGTCGCCGCTCGGCCAGTTCGGCGTCGAAACAGCGCGCAGCAGCGCGCCTCGCGGCGCCGCGGGCGCCCAGCCGCCGGCGGCGAAAATCCAAGGGAATGCCCTCATCATGGACACGGTGACGAGCAAGTTTGGATTGAGCTCCCTCGCCACTGAGTTGAAAGACGTACTCCTGCGGGCGAGGGTGTCCACGGCAGGGAAACTGAGGACCCTTGCAGAGGCCGTGTCAATTGCAGGCATGGCCACTGAATTTTCTACGTATGGGCACGACCTCCAGAATCCAGACGCACATTTGCCCTCCAGGCGTCATGCCAGCAGTGATGAAGGTTGCGAAGGAGATCTGCCCCCTTTCGGCGCCTATGGCACCAGAGCGGCATCGGTGGCTCCCCGTCTAGTCGGGCGGTCGAGGGACCCCGTCGCTGGCCTCCCAGTCGGCAGACAGCTGGCGCGCGCGAGTCTCCCCTTGGGAGCGGTTGGCGCTCTCGGGAAGAGCTTCGGGGCGCAAGCCCCGGTGAGATCGAGCGATTCATCTTCATCGCTAGTGAAGTTGCGACCTTGGCTGCTGATCGTCAGAGGTTATGCGGGCACAGATGTCCTGCAGAACCTCGGGTCGGCAATCTCGTTCGCGCAGGTTGCGCCTGACGCCGTGCGCGAGGTTATCGGGGCCGGTCTGGACAAGCGAAACCAGTAGGAACGCTCCTCCACGGGAGCAGCTTGACATGCTGCGCACTGCCCAACATGAAGGTTTCGATATCGATGTCATCGTTGCCTCCAGGATGCTAAAGAAGATCGGGGCATCTGCGGATAGCTCGCTCACTAGATACCTACCACCCGTAAGGACGGTGCAAGCCCTTTGTGATGTCTTGAATCTACGACTCTCCCGCGACAATCTACAGATTTGCAACACTCATAACTCACGAAGGGACGCTCTAATCGATCCTATCAGTGTGGCGGAAATTCCATCAGTTGGCAGGCTTCCAGTGGCCCGTGGAGCATTCCCCAGTGTTAGCGACTATCAGGGCTGGGCTGCGGAAGCTGCAACGGCCAACGGCCCCCAGGCCGCGAAGCAGGAAGGACCTGATGCGGAGCCTCTGGGCCCGCTGTGCCAGCACTGGGAATTGCTTCCGTGGCGTGACATACATGCTAGCACACGCCTTCTTGCTCAGAGCACCGTCGGAACTCGCAGGGCTGATGAAGCCATGCCCTCTGGGTGTGGATAGGGGCACGGTGCGCGTCGGTCCCATCAGAC